CCTCCCTCCCTTCCATTCTCTCTGAAAAGCAATGGAAAAAATATCCCCAGGTAATGGTTAACAAAACAAAAATCTTTTTTAAAATATATATAATCACTACATGTCCCAGCAATTCCACTCCTAGGTATATACCCTAAAGAACTGAAAGCAAAGACTCAAATACTTACACGCCACTAGAAGTATTATCCATAATAGCTTAAAGGTGGAAACAACCTAAGTGTCCACCAACAGATGAACAGAATGAACAAAATGTAGTATATAAATCTAATAGAATATTATTCAACCACAAAAGGGAATGAAGTGCTGAGACATGTTGTAACAGATGAACTTTGAAAACATGCTAAGTTAAACAAGCCAGAGTTTCTGTTTGGGATGATAAAAGCTCTGGAAGTGGAAAGTAGATCACGGTATAATATACAACCTTGTACTTGATGCCACTAAATTGTACACTTAAAATGGTTAAAATGGCAACTCTTACATATATTGTTACTACAAAAAAAATCTTAAGGGAAAGAAACCATTCTCTACACAACCCTACTTTGACGCTAGGAAAACCAAAGTCTGGGCAACCCTGGTACATTAAAGACACAAACAATCCCAACTTTTGCAAAGAAGGATGGATGCTTTTTTTGGCATGGCCTTTCCTGTAATACTTTTCACCTTGGTGTGTTAGGTGCCTCCATGTTGTAACATTTCATTTCTAAGCTCCATACATAAATATTCAGCTTAGATTAGGAAATAAAAAAAAGCTTCATAAGAAATGCAAATTTACAAAGCATAGAACCAGACATCAGGCCGGACAGGCCATAGCCTAGGGACAACAAGCCGGTGTGTGTGCAGCCAGGGCAGCGCCCATGCACTGGCCAAGGGAGGCTGTTCCCTCAACTTCCTGTTCAGTTCAATCCCCTTTGACCACAAGCAGACACCTGTAAGCACTGACCAGGAACAACTGGGAAGCTGGCTGGCAGCCATAGAAGTTCTTCTCAAGGCACTGAGTCCTACACTTTCTACTTCACTAACCCTGATCTTTCCACTAGGGAGAATCCTGAGACTCCCAAACCACAGATTCCAGCAGAGGCTTTGTGATCCATGGCACAAATGGAAAAAAAAACAAAAAGCCAAAAACTATGGTATAGATGACTTACAAAACTACCTTCACTGAATAAAAGGGCTGATCTTTATTCCAGGATTCTTACTTGTGTGTGGGCGGAATAGTGTTCAAACACTGGATGGTAGATGGAGGACTTTCTTTTACCATACTTATCTGGAAAAATTAGAAAGTTGTTTTTTTTTTAAACTATATCCCTCATATCCAAACACAAGGGTGCCAAGTGGGAGCCCAATGAAGATATCATCCTAAGCAAAACTAAGGAAAGCAGCTTCCTAAAAGATCTGAACTATACCAACATAAAATAGACTTCCAGCTGGTAGATGTGGGAGGTAGGGCCACTCGAGTTCTCGGGATTCCTAGAACTCTTAACTCTGTCCACCCAGGCTCACAACAGACCTTTCTCGGGCTGGCTGCACACCACAAACAGATCTTAGAAGGAACCTGTCTACTTCACATGAAAGTCATGCACCAAAATCTGCCAAACAGCATATCTGCAATTGCTTACTTTTTATATCCTATATAATAAAAGGCTAATATGCAAATCGGCCAAACAGTGTAACGACCGGTCACTATGATGTGCACTGACCACCAGGGGGGGCAGACACTCAACACAGGAGCTTCCCCCTGGTGGTCAGTGCCCTACCATGGGGGAGCGCCACTCAGCAGAAGCCATGGCGAGTGCAGTGGAAGTGGCGGGAGCCACTCCCACCTCCGTGGCAGTGCTAAGGATGTCCAACTGATGGCTTAGGCCTGCTCCCCTAAGCCATCAGTTGGACATCCCCCGAGGGCTCCTGGACTGCAAGAGGGCGCAGGCCGGGCTGAGGGACCCCCGCCCCCAGTGCACGAATCTCGTGCACTGGACCTCTAGTATGTATATTATTTTTTATTATTGATTTCAGAGAGGAAGGGAAAGGGAGAGAAAGAAACATAAAAAAAAAAAAAATCATTGATCGGCTGCCTCCTGCACATACCCCCACTGGGGATTGAGCCCGAAGCCCAGACATGTGCTCCCAACCGGAATCGAACCCAGGACCTTTCAGTCCACAGGCCGACGCTCTATCTATCCCTGAGCCAAACCAGCCAGGGCCAATTATTTCAGAGAGGAAGGGAAAGGGAGAGAAAGAAACATAAAAAAAAAAAAAATCATTGATCGGCTGCCTCCTGCACATACCCCCACTGGGGATTGAGCCCGAAGCCCAGACATGTGCTCCCAACCGGAATCGAACCCAGGACCTTTCAGTCCACAGGCCGACGCTCTATCTATCCCTGAGCCAAACCAGCCAGGGCCAATTGCTTACTCTTGGCAGATGAGGAGGAAAACGTTAGTATAAATTCAAAAAAATATACATCCAATCTATAGTTCACGGTCCTACAAAAGGTCTGTGGATAGAAATATATTTAATATAACTTGTTTCTTTGAAACCCAAATATTCTATAATTTGCATTTCAAAAAAATGCTGACATAGGAGGGTCCATGACAGTAGTAGTGCCAGTCCATGTTTTCAGACTGCTCAGCTCACCTATTAATTACAAAATGTATAAATAACTAATTACAGCCAAAGCAGTAAAGTATCTAAGTTACATTCTGCCCATGCATTATTAGGCTAAGAATAAACTACTAGCCTTGGCCAGTGTGGCTCAGTTGGTTGGATGTTGATCCATGCACTGAAAGGGTTGCTGGCTTGATTCCCAATCAGGGCACACACCCGATTGCGGGCTCAATCCCCAGTAGGGGGTGTGCAGGAGGCAGCCAATGGATGATTCTCTCTCTCTGACCCATGAACCAGGAGGTCAAGGAGGGTTCGATTCCTGGTCAAGGGATATGCCCAGCTTGGGCCTTAATCCCCAGCAGGGGGCATGCAGGAGGCAGCTGGCCAATCAATGATTCTCTCTCATCATTGATATTTCGGGTAGTTATTGATATATTTATTATCTTGATTCAGTGAGGGTTTATATACTGACACCAAACTGTACATCTATCTTCCATATATAGAAAAGGCTAATATGCAGTGTCCCCTGGGGAGTTCAACTGGGAGCCTGGGAGTTCGATTGCTCACTATGACGTGCCTTGACCACTAGGGGGTGGTGCGGAATGAAGAAGGCCCAGGCTGCCTTCCAGAAGGAAGGCCCTGATTGCAGCCCAGCCCTAGGGA